ATCTCCTAAAGTAAACATTACTGATTTGGTTTGATTTTGTGTGTGTGTGTGTGTGTGTGTGGCAAATATAAAGTCAGAAGTTCTCTGCTTAATACCTAGAAATATGTATGAAAGATTTTTTGACAGTATAGGGCTTGGAAAAAAAATGCTGTGTAACATTGTAGGGCAATAGTAATTAGTACCAACAGGAACTTTTTCCATTTATCACACTGTGTGTCTGTTCAGTCATATCTGGTTTGGGTCTTGCATCGGATGAGACATAAGAAAAGGCTTTACCCATTCTCTTGAAAAATCATCTTTTATTTCTAGAACAAAAATCATCAGTTGTACTTTAAAGTCTCAGAAAGTTGGATTTGTATTTCTTTTTTCTCTTAATTAGGCAGATACCTGATTACGAGCCCATTTTAACAATATACAGTGCTAGAGCAGACAGTGAAAGTATCGTATATAGAGAGTTAAACATAACCTCAACTACTGAGTCTTTGTTATCCATGGATGACAGCCCAGTTAATAAATGTTTTCTCACTGGGATGCTGGACTGGAAGTTAATGGTGAAACACATCTACAACGTGCTCCAGATGCTTAAGACAAGCAGACACATCACAACCATAACGGCAGTGGCATGCACAGAATGTACCTGTATTGGGGTTGTGTCAGTCCAGCTTGGGTTCTCCCCTTCACTAGCCCAGGTGCAAACCCTACGTAAGCAAACAAATTTGGGCAGGGAGAAGACTTGTTCATGGTTTGGATATGTTGCTTGAAAACAGTGCTTACTACTGGCAGGGGTTTATGCACAGAAAAGGGAAGAGGGGAAAGATGAAAGAGGAAAGATTTTGGCAGAGCCTGTAGTTCAGGCATGCAGAACAGATATCCTAGTCCACATAATCATAAAAGTGTGTCCGCTTGCTAGACTTGCTATGTATCTCTTTCTGGTTAGGTTTCTGTCTTTAAATGTAAATGACATAGTATTGCCTTTAGACTTTGTGAGTCACTAGACTAGAGCCAAAAAGAGTTCAAATATGAAAAATATGTTTTGTTACATTTGCCATTAAAGGAGCAGTCTTATTCTGAGAGAGCCAAAGCCTTAATTATTTCCATAGTAGTTTTCTCCTCTTTTTCAACATTTGCCCACATTTTGTTAACTGGATCAAGCAAAAAATTAGGGAGTGGGTGGCAGAACTGAACACAAGTCATTTCTTTACTTGCTGTCTGCCCATCCAAAAAAGCCTTTTCAAAGAAATACAGGAAAATCCACGACTGTCCACTCCTGCACCAGAAAAATTCCTAAAATATATGACCTTGCGATGGTTAAAAGATAGCCAAGAGCCAAAGCTGGGCAATATTTTTATCTCAGTTCAGCCATGTCATGGGTCATGTGGTTCAGCATGTGAACAGGAAGGTGAGAATGGGTGAACTTTTGCCTCAGTTGTGCAGTCCATCAGAGAATAAATGGAGCAAATCACTCTGCAGCTGTATCGGGAGGTGAATGGCTGAATACCTCTCACACAGAGGCCTTTGTGTTCTGGACATGATCTAGCATTATGATGGGACGCACTAGGCTGAGGCTTTGTAGCAATTACTAACCCATTATCGCGCTAGAACATGAGATCATTTATCTTCTAATTCAGAGTGTCACCTGTTCTTCATTTGCCAGTCAATAACCATTAATTACTTTCAGTGGAAATTTAAACAAAGCTTTTCCCCTCTGTTAAAACCAGTAAGCCATTCAGTAATGACAAATAAACCTGGAGCTATATCTCCCCCTTTCCTCTCATTCTCAGACCGGAGTCTGGTACAATATGAACTCTTAAAGGAAATGCCTAGAAATTGATAGGTCAAGGGCCTTTATTAGTCTGATGTGGGGGGAAGCACATTCCTGGCACTTGCTGTAGGGAAAGCATATAGCTACTGCTTGTACACAGATTTCTCCGTGGTTGTCACAGGCTGTACCTGTGGAAATAAAGATTTGAATGCTGAGCTTGTTCAAAGATTTTTCTATCTTCTGGTGTGCCTTTGTATTTTTTTATGGACTGTTTATGCAGACCCATTCAAAGCAACAGTGTTTGGGCACTTTCCTCAAAGCAAAACAGAACTATCACTTATTTCGTAATTTTTAGCACGTTCATTTTTTTCATACCTGATTTGATTGAGGTAATTGTAAGTGCCAACAATTGTGAATGCCAGAAAAAATAAAAGAACCAGCAGTGATAGATTCTCAAGTAATCATTAATCTAAACATTCTTTCCTGGTAGGAGTTGAGGCAAAAATTGCTTTTAGCAAGTCTGTCTGCATTGTTGGATCGTTGCAAAGTTGATCCTGTAGAAATTTACTGCAGTTTAAGTTGTATTTCCAAGAAGGTGATTGCTTGCTCTTTGAAACAGTAGACAAGAGTTGATACATCCAAATGTATAAAACTTGGTGTGACCAATGTCGAAGGCTGTTTTTTTGTTAGTATTTTGTAGCTGTCTCCTTCAATGCAGTGTATGTTTTAGAGTAAAGAGAAACTTCTAACGCTATTTTATATTAATACACAAATTAACGTGTAAATATTTTAAACACTCACTGGATTGTTGAATGTCTCAGCATAAGCACCCACACTAAAATTGTGTCCAATGAATTACAAAACTGAGGTGTTTAGAACTGGAGGGATAGCAAAAAGTTATCGTAAGTCTGATCCTGCTTCTACTTACATATATTAATACTACTTTACAAAAATGCATAGTAAATAGCAGGTCCTTATACTAATATTGCATATTCAGTCAACCTACCGATGGCATTTGGGGGTGGGGGGTGATTTTTACCAATAAATAAGGGTTGGTTTTTACCTGTCTGTCGGATGTATCTGACACTACAGTGCTGTGTAAGTTTCAAACAAAGGCAGGCAAGACCTTGAATTCATTATGTACAGCAAACATCCACTAAAGTCAAGAGGAGAACCGCTATAAATTCTGACTCTGACTGACTGTCTAGTCTTGGAAATCCTTATTCACTCAAATAGTGCCTTCTCACATGAGGAAGCTTCTTGTTTTCAGCTGGGCTGCTTAATGAAAGCTGAAGGTCTGTGAAATCAGGTACGATGCTAGAAGAACCAGAACTATCAGTTACTTATTTTAGATATTCCTTTTATCTTTCTGTGAAGCTGCTACTACTGTGAATCCTGCAAGCTTGTCCAGTCATGAAGAAACAGGAATTGGTGATTTATGGCGACCTCTCAAATCTACAGGGAAACCCCAATGTTCCAAGAAAGCTCATATGAGATACAAGTTAAGACATCTCCTCCCCACAAGAGGAGTTTCATCAGCCAGTCGGGTATTTCTGCGTCATTGGCTAGGATGTTCAACCCTGGAAAGGAAAAATAAAGTTACTGCCATTGTCCTGCCCAGCAGGTCATATCCCTAAAGCACAATTAATGTCAAGGACTTACACAGCAGTTGCCCAAAACCCAGCCTTCCACACACGTTCAAGAACCAAAAAGGTTCAAAAGGAACATGTTAATAAAATCTTGTCAAAACTTTGGAAGATGCATAAAATAATAACTGGGAAGAAAAATTACTTGCAGATAGAACCATTTAAGTGGAATGTATCGCCTTGCTATGCTGGACACTGATTTATTAAGAATAGGGGGGGGAAAAATTGAATATTTTAGGTGGTATTTACCAAGAGAAACTGAGCTGTCCCAAAGCTTTTATTAATCTGATTTGCAGAGTATCCACTACCATCAAGGGACCTACTAAAGTTGTTTTCTTTAAAGCTGATGTGAAGAGGTCAATGCAAATAGCATTGTGGATTACACTGTGAGAAGATGACAGTCCTCTTTACCATATGGAGAGAAAGTTGAATTATTTTGTTTTCCTTTTCTGGTTATTTATTAAAGGAGGATCATGCCATACAGGTATTCCCTCTTCCTCTCCAAAGGAAATGAAGTGTTTACATCATTTTGATTGATCTAAAGTAATAATTATTCTGTCCGCCTACAGCTCCTAGGCAGTCAAATAGTACAGTCACTAGAGTGGTGGCTTGCATATCAGAAAACTGAAATGTACCTGCCGTGATACCTCAGAGAAGTCACACGTGTCTTTGCGTGCCTCTTTTTTCCATCTGCTTTCCTGCTTTCAAGCTGACTTAGCTGGCCAGCCCTCTGAGAAGGTGCTCATCCGTTATTACTTGTTTGTGGGAGGGCACTCTGTGAAAGACATTGCTGTGGGAAGTAAACCTGCTCCTCTGAAATGCAAATATGTTGACAATCCCATGAAGTTTTGCTTCAAAACCTATTGCGATTTTTGCTGCTGCACAAACGGTTCTCTGAAAGAGATGTTAATGGTAGTCTCGCTTTTCTACCAGTGTTTTCTGTGTTCCTGTGTCAAAAGAAAATGTTTCTGCTACGGTGCTTTAGTATGTAACATTCAGCACATATTCAGCAGGAAAAACAGATTAATTTATTCAAATATACTGTTGACTATTCTTAGTTACATTTTTAATTACTTACTCTTAACTAAAATCTCAACTCAGCCAAAACAAATGTGACAGAAGAAAGAGCCAAAAGGACCCATGTTTTCATGATTCAATGTGCTTGACATCGTTCTATAACAGACAGGCAACAACACTCTGGACTGAAACATTACGAAATTTTGTTCTTTCCCCCATATCTATGTCAATTAATGCAGTGCTTTAAACAAGTGAATCCATGCTCTTGAGCACTAAACCAAGTCTGTGTTCAAAAGTAAACATATTAAAGTCTCCCCTGCAGAAACCCCTGCTGTGAAACAAATTGAAAATCAAATACAGCATTGTTTGCTGTAATAAGAAATAATTGAACTCTTTTCAGAGTTGCACTGAACTGGTTAATAGCCACCATGTTAGGAAAGTGCTAATTTCCCCAGTTTGGGGTATGTGTGTGTATGTGTAGTTATTTCCAAACCAAAAATGCAGTAATATAATATCATGTACCAAAGAGGCCACTTACATGTGCACTGAATCTGACTTTGTTTGTCTTTCTGCAGGCCATGTGGCTGATGTTGCAAACGGATGAGCCCGAGGACTTTGTCATAGCCACTGGGGAGGTCCATAGCGTCCGTGAATTTGTGGAGAAGTCATTTAAGCACATCGGGAAAACCATTGTGTAAGTGTGAATATGAGATAGCAGCCATGGGTTGAACATTTCTAGCCTGTTGCATTTGCTGCGTTAGAGTATTTTTTTCTCTACATTCTTCTTTTTTTCCCCTCACTTTCTAATTTTGTAACATGTGAGACCTTCAGGGCATGAATGACTGCCACAGTGGATGTCTCTAGTATTGCCCTCTAGATCATAAGAAAAAAATGTAGGTGGGTACATCTTAATTTTTTATTTCAAGTCTTCATTCTCTGTTCTCCCATTCACTCCCCTCCTCGGGGAACAGAAGCCCTTCCAAAGATGTTACTACCAGGGTACTGTTCATCACTTTGCTGCAAAAGGGACTTTTCTGCCTGATTCTCTATTTTGTGCCCCCAGATCCCCATAGTCGTGCTCCCATCCTCTGCAATCTCAAGAGGTGACACCTGCCAACCCTGTTCTTTCTACGTGACAGCCCGTCAGCCACACCACACGGATTATGTAGCAACCCACTCTACGTTCCTATTAGCTCTTCTCCTACTAAGCCATAAAAATGTTGAGCAGTGGGTGCAGAATGTTTACAATGCATATTCCACATAGTTTGATTGAAAATACAAAATTCCTTCTCAAGGCCATATAATAAAACCAGGATGGCTTGGTGAGCGCTTTCTGTAATTTATATTTTTATTGTTTATTATTTTTTCAATTTCCCTCCTTCTGTATCTTCTCTGGGCCCCATGCATCAACATACCAATCTCAGCTGGAAAAGGGAGAGGAAAGCCACAGGCTCTTCCATGACGCTAGCGCCAGGGCTGTTCCTCAGGCCATCAAAGTCACTTGTGCAGCTGGTGAACTTTTGACAGGGCCAATAAGTTTTACTTGGGAACAAAAACTTGACAAATTCAATAAATATGCAGAAGTGCACAGATATATACAATATTATTTGAACAGCCAGTGGGTGGCTGGGGAGGTAATAACATTTTCTCCTCAATGAGTTTTTAGTCTGGTTTCAATTTTTGGCATCAACTTCCAGAAAAAATTCTGATGGGGGAGAGAGAGACTGTATAAATAGAATTTCTAGCCCAAAAGTTCAGTTTTGGGAATAATATTCTCTCCATATTTTTAGCATCTCTTCATAGCAAGATGTCCCTGACTGATCACACATTGTCCTACACGCCTTAACAGTAGTGAGGTTTGACAGGATAAAGGGGAGGTAGTAGGAGCTCTAGTAATTGCTTTGTCTTTCTTATTTTTGCTCCTTTTTCTATACTTTTGCTTCTTGTGTTTATAAGCTAATTCTCCCTAGTAAGCATTGATACGAATATGCTGTGGATTCAGTTGCTCCATATAAGTAAGAATTCTTGTGATTTTGTCAGTCTAGTGCTGTTTGCAAAAGCAAGAATGAATGTTTGGTGAACAATATTTTTTTTGATTACCTAAAATTAGAAACTGAAACATATAGGTCAGTACTTAGCTGAATGTCTTTATTTATAGATGTTCTCAACATCACAGTTTCTTTTGATGTCAGTAATTTTATCCATTAGTTTAAAATTAAAAGCCCTGCTTTGGTGTTGGCCTAAGAAGTCTCAGCATGTCCCAAGACTGACAAATCAGCATGTGTTTTTCAGAAAGCAAATTAAACCCTCAAGAAAACCTAAAGAAAATAACAACAATTACACAAATAAAAGTGAAAGTACTTTTATGAATAGCTTCTGTTATAGAGAGGATATTAAATGCTTACTTTAGATTTAGTTGGTCCTAACACACAAAATTTTGTGTTGCATTTTTTAATTTTTTGCTCACATCTAGCTCCATATGGTGGACTGCATATCACTTCTGTTGGTGATTACTGCCGTCTGTGTTTGGATTGAATCAATCAGTCACAAGTTTCTCTCTCAGGGAAACTTTACAGTATGACTCCAAGTGATGAGCTAGGGCAGGTGGTTTGTGTGTACAAAGGCATAGTTGCTTTTTTTTTAACTAATCAATAAAAGTAATTTTCAAAAATTGTATAATAATCCACGTGACATCTAGTGACATGGATTTTTAGGAACCTAAATCGCTTTAGAAACAGGGCTTGGGCTGCTAATCCCTATGGCTCTTCTGAAATTTTTCTTCACTGTGAATAAGTTATTAATTTCTTAAGCTATTTACAGGTGATATATAAAAAGCTATACATGGAGACTGAGGTGACATTTTAGGTGCTAATGATAATTTTGTTGTTGATCATTTTGACAGTGCTGTAATTCTGATCGTTTTGGATACAGTCTAGCCAGATAAACCAGCCGTTCGTTCCCCCTGCTCCCAAGGTGGGAGTAGTGTCACAACAGACCCACTACTCATTCCATAGCCATCGTTCATCTTTCAAGTTGCATTAGGTGTAAAATATTTCTCAGGATTTGGAAAGTTTTGTTAAGAACCTCCATAATTTTTCTAGGTGTCAGCCCGGCCCATGCTTTTGCAGCACACACACACTCTCCTTACCCTCGCTGGCTTCTTGGCCGGCCGGCTGCTAACCTCTCACATTCTTTGAAACCCCCAAGGGCTTTCTACTCCCACCTCGTCCAGCTTGAATATATCTTCTTCAGGGAGTAACCTGGCAGCAAAATCCTCCCTTTTAGCATTGTAGGACCCCACTGGTGAGTTCCATTGATCTGTTTCTTTACAATTTATGAGGCACCTAAAAACCAGCACACCAGAGTGCAATTGCTAAATGAGTTCCTGCGAGGATGGCTGCTTTCTTCCTATCTCCCTTCCTCAAAGTTTGGTTGAGTTGTTTGGTTGTTTGGGGTTTTTTTTTGCAGGGTTGCAGGTATTATGAAATTTTGCAATCTCAAAAACTGATCGGGGAAATTTCCAGCAGCCCTTTCCACTGCTGTAAGTGATGGCCCAGCTTCCCAGTATTGCTGTACAATGTGCCTTTCAAAATGGATGGAATGATGGAGTAAATGGCCAGGAGGAACATCGCGGCAAGCAGCAGTTGGCAGAGCTCATTGCACATCTGAGAACACAGGGCATGTGTGCGGGGGCTCTTAACCATCCCTACTTTGTGCTTTGGCAGGGAAAGTTGTAAATGTAAAAAAGTCTTAGCTGTCATATCTTGATACTGCAGTAGAGAACAGGAAGAAAAGCAGTCCTGGCTGTCCCATCAACCAACTAAATTTTTCTTTTTTATTTTTTTTAGGTTTTTGTCTTCCTAACAATTCATATTAACTTATACAGCTGAAAATCCCGGACAGCCTAAAAAGTCTTTCCAAGAAGATAACATAATACCCTGACATAGACAGTCATTAGCATGTATCAGGACTATGTTTTCTAGCCAAAATAAGAAAGAGAAACTTTACTACATTTTTTTAACTAATGAAATATACAGCTGCAATAAGACTGATTCTCTCTCTGAAATTGCCTGTAAAGTGTACACAGAGGTTTATCTACCTTGTGTGGTTTTTTTTTTCTTCTAATGTTTCTTGTTTAAGGGAGAAATTTGAAATTTTATTTATATAGTCCTCTGAATCATTCAAATTCAGTCCTTTGTACTAACAGGAAAGCCTCAGAGCTACAAATATTTTCCCCCTGTAAGGATTACACTTTTTTTCTTTTACTTTCCCTTCTGCTTATTACTAATTAAGCAGTACTTGGGGGAAACACTTCCCGCCTATAATTTGAACTACAGCAGGGTAAACGAAACAGGCAAACACTTGTCTTGACTAATTTTCTGTCATTAATCTTATTAAATTAGAACAGGATTGCAAAGATAGCCTGAAACCACTACAGCACTCAGAGTTCTTTGCAGAGTGCTACAAAAACTGCTGTCTGCAAATGTGGAAAGAAAAAAAAAAGAAAAAGAAAAAACTGTTCAAGCAGTGGAAAGATTTATTGTGGTTTTTATTAATATAAAAATACATGCACATTTGTTACAGAACTATTCATTGCTCCTAGGATCAGAATTAATTCAGTAAAAATGAGTATTTTACTCTAGTCATTTGGCTCTACGTACAAATTTTATCTTAACTAACATGCCAGTTGGTCTTATAAAAGATCGCCCTAAAAAGGGGAAGTTTGCAGATAAGCTGTAAGGTCTAATGAGGTGAACTACTAGCAGAAGTGGAGCAGTGGCCTCTTCAGTGACAGTGAAGGTTGAACTGAGATTGAACTGAAGGAGGAGGGTTTTTCTAGTTTGTTTTCTTTTTTTTTTTTTTTCCTTTTTACCTTAAAATGGAAGCTTGTGTTACAGAAACACATGAGATTTGAAAGATTGCTGTAAGAATGGAAAGCCAACAATACGTTAGTAATGGTGCTGTGGGGATGTGGAAGAGGAACCATCAAAACAGCTGCTGTTTCCAGGTCTGGCTTTTGCCCACCAAAAATTGCTGCCTGGCTAGTGCTACGTGTTGTATTTAACAGCTCAGGAAAACCAGAAGTTTTCAGATGAGGAGGAAGGGAACAGAATGTCATACGGAAATTGGAGGCATTTTGAGAGTGATCATTGAAAGGAACCCAGCCAGGTCAGTGAAGAACGCTGGCCTGGGTGAACTCACATGAGCAAGGGTCATCGCTTAGGACTGCACCACTTTTATCACCATTCTCACTGTAGAGTATATGTTTCAGGGAGGTATTTAACCCACCTCAGCTGGACGATTAACTCTTCCAGCTGAGCAGGCTTTTATTACTTACTTTATTGATACAAGGTTTTATCTGTAGGCAGACCTAATAACTGTTTCAGAATTCAAATTAAGGTTTGAAGAATATAGCAATTTAATTATCTGATTTCATACATCATAAGAGGTATGAGAGTTTCTCCTATAGGAAGACTGGGTAAGAATTAAATCATAGAATCATTTAGGTTGGAAAAGATCTTCAAGATCATCGAGTCCAACCATCAACCATGCCCACTAAACCATGTTCTGAAGTGCCTTGTCTACACGCTCTTTGAATACCTCCAGGGATGGTGACTCAATCACTTCCCTGTGCAGCCTGTTCCAATGCCTGACAACCCTTTCAGTAAAGAAATTTTTCCTAATATCCAACCT